TGACCACTGAACCCCACCTACCCAGCTGGTCATTAGGGCAGAGAACCGGTTGTTAAACTATTTGAATCCCACCACTGAAGACACTATCAACAAAGATATGCAAGCTGTGGGCCTGCACCCTGGAGATGCAGCTGACCCTGCAAAGTGGCACTCAGTGATCCAAAAAACGGACCCTGCACCTGCGGGAATATGCTAGGAAGAAGAAGATGCAAATGCGGGGGAGTGGGGCTGTCTCTGTACTCTGTATGCAATAAGAGTTGGGGGTTGTTTTTTACAGATCCTTACTGTGAATATGGATAGATGTTCTTTCCTAATTGAATGCTACCAGGTAGAGAAGTGCATTCAGGACTCGATATAAGAGTTTAATTTATCTGGATGATTGGGGAAAATATACATGCAAGGATTTCTTGGAAGGCACATTGCAAATGTACCAATTTACACTAAGTGAAATAAAGAAGAAGAAGCTATTTGCTATGAAACAAAATAATGTCTCTAGTAGGTGCCCTTTTGTACCCTGCATTTAAGGCATTGTTACCTTAAATACAGAATATTCACTTCCTCCAGATTCTTAGAAAACTGATACATGAGTAATGTTTTGTTTAAGACATCATGTTTTGATCTGCTGCTACCCACTGTTGTTTAAAGATAAAGAACTGTCAAAACAGAGGCCCTTGAAACTCCCACGGTCTGTATAACAGGATGTGGAGATATGCTGGTCTCTTGACCCAACTTGCAGGACTCCCTGGTTCTAAAGATGTACCCATTGACAAGTTTTGGACTATAGGGGTGCTGCAATGGTCAGAATTTTTGGAGTGGGTCATCTCTCCCTTTGTTCAGCACTCTTGTAATTTCAGTCACTGAACAAATGTTCTTAAGTCAAGGACCACTTGTAACAGGAAAAAATGTGATCTCCTTGCTCCAGTTCCTTGAACCTCACAGAAATAAGGGACCATCAATAAGTTCTTATAGTACAAATGCATTAGACAAGCCAATTCTGGTTGGAGAAGGCAATCCTGTAACTATCTCCACTCCAATCCATATAGGGCTTTAGAGGTCAAAAGCTGGACTTCAACTGCACCTGGAAGGAGTACCTGAGATCTGCTTATATTGTATGATGCCACTTAGCACATGGGCTACAGCCTTTTGACTGAGATGTCTTTAAAGGCAGGAGAATAGTGCCACTGCTCCTAATTACATAGCAACAACATATGCCCAGAAACAAGCAGGCATCTCACAATATCATTGCAACCTTTTTCAGACCTCCCAACATGCTCAGTTGGATCTTGCTGTTTGCATAATATAGCTCCTGCCTAATTTTTTTTTAATGAGAAAAATGCTACTGGCTAATTATCCCAAAGGGATCTAGAAAAGGGAATTTTGTAGGACCACTGCTGAGCACCTTTGCTGAGATAGACGCCTTTGTAAGCAAAAATCTTATGGGTGATAATATAGTTCTATACATGCTTTTTTCAAGAGCAATTGCAAGAAGGTGCGTTGACTTGCTTCCTGTAGTTGTTCTTTTTCATCTGAGCAAGCTGGTGTTGGTGGGCGGGTGGGTGTACACACATACATACATGCATGCATCATTCATATCGATCTAATTTACAACAATATTAATATTCTTTATCACATTTATCAAATTTAAATAATCATCTTTATATTATTTAAACATTCATAAAAATGCCTAACTTTTTAAACCTTTAATCTTTCTATTATTTTTTTATTCTATAGAAAAAAAATTCCCCTATCTAATTTAGTTCTGCTTCTGCAACTTACAATCAAGCTACCTTAATATTTAAAGGCAATTCTTTCTATCCATCATCTCTTGCCCTCTTTAGTGCTTCAATTCTTATCTGGTTTTTACTCGCTTCCCACTCTCCTCATCTTTATCTCTATCTTCATCTCTATCTTTCTTATTTAATCTAAACATTTCTCCCAATACATTCTTATATTGCCACTTTTCCCACATGTCTGCCCATGTCTCAATCACCTTATCAACAATATCTTCCTGTATGTTCATTTGCTGATTTAACTGTTTTACTTTCTTCAGTCTTTCTTCCTTTTTCAGCTGATTTGTCAGTCCTATTTTTTTTTTGCTCCAGTCTTTGATTTATTTGTTGATTTAGACAATTCCTCTGTTTTTTCTGCTCCTTTTGCTTGCCATTTATCTGGTCTTCCTCTTCGCTGAGCATCTGCTTCATTTCATTGTATTTACTTTGTACAATGACAATAATAAAGACTATACTATTTGCTCATTTTTCTGATCCATATTTGTTCCTGAGCAAGCTGTCTTTTAAAGGGAGGTCCAATGATTTCTTTTTTTTTCTGGGCTTAAATATCAAGCTATGAAGTGCAGCTATATGACATTGGGCTGTGTCAATCCTTCCTTCACATATAGTCGTGGTCTGATCTGGAAATATCAGATCACAGGGACGATTGGTGTGACATAAACGATGTGATGGGTGATGACATCTTCAGACCACTGATATGGCACTTATTTCCACGTAGGGAGATTTTCTGGAAATGGCACCTCAGGAAATGCATGTTTNCAGAATTCCCCAGCCAGCGAATGCTGGCTGGGGAATTCTGGGAGTTGAAGTCCGGACATCTTCAAGTTGCCAAGGTTGAGAAACACTGTACTAGACAAACCAGCTGCCCCCATTGAGCAAAGATGGGGGTGCGAAGTCCATCGTTTCTGCCCTGTTTAACGAAAGCCTTTTTATCTCGCCATTGCAGGGATCTGTGAAGAGGAAAGTGGCGGACGATGCGTCTCCCGCCTCCGGCGCCATGCCCGACCTCCTCTTCCCAAGCGAGAGCAAGCGGCTTTGTCTGGACGACGTCACTCTCTCCATGGGCCCCGGGTCCAATTCTGTTTCATGCCCCGATATGCAGGGCTCTCCGTATTCAACCAATCACGGGACTCCCGCCATGCCCGGACACGGAATGCTCCTTGAGAACAACCACATGAATGGGAGCGGGATGGGGTCTCCCTTCGCCGTCCCTCCGAATGCCGAGGTTGGGCAGAAAGGGCCCCTCGGGGGCCATTACGGCGAGAAAGGGAGCAACATGCACGCCGTGGACCAAGAACTTCAGGATTTGCTGGAAGAGTTGACCAAGATGCCGGATCCTTCTCCCAACGACCTGGACCTGGAGAAGATCTTAGGGAGCAAGCCCGAAGAGCCCATGGGGGGCCTGGCCCACCCGCCCTCAGCCATGAACAGCTCTTCCAAATCTTCTCCGCAGGCCCCCCCCTTGGACAATCACCTCCCCAGCAAAGATTTCTCTCCCGGATGCAACCCAAGCGGAGGCTCCCCTTCCGGAGCCGGATACTCGGTCCCGTCTCAGAACAAGGCTGTGGGGTCACCCATTTCCTCGGCCACGCCCAACAAGGGACAGGCCCTCCATATGTCCGGGGCCAATTGGCACGCCCAGCAGTTGAAGCACTTAGCCAGCAAGCAGGCGCCAACGTCCAAGCCCCCAACGCCCAACTGGCCCACCATCTCTTCCCAAGGCCTTTCGCCTCCTTACCGGCAAGGCTCTTCTCCTCACCACCAGCCCTTCAGCCCCCAAAACGTCATGATCTCCGGCATGACTCCCAACGGCCTGCCAGGAAGCAACATCCAGAGCCCCCAGAACCCTCTGCTCTCCAGCATCACGTCCAACAGTAACCCCCCCGGGGGTCTCTCTCCCCCTTTTGGGCCAGAGAAGCTCTCCAGTCCGGTCCTCAATCAGCAGCCTTTCAGCCCTCCCAGCTCCATCATGTCCAGCATCTCAACCAGCAGCATTAAGAGTTCCCCCAACGCGGGGCCGTCGCCCTACAGGCCGGAGAAGCTCTCCAGCCCAGCTTTGCACCAGCAGCCTTTCAGCCCTCAAGGCACCTTGATCGCCAACGCCACCCCAACCAGCAACCCCGCCAACATGCCGGGCTCCCTCTACAAAAACATGCCGCCCTCCCAGTCCAAGAACATGAACGTCATGCTGACGCAGTCTTCCAACAGCATCCAAGCGGGGTTGGGGAGCGAAGGGCCCGGGGCCCAAGACCAGTTTTCCTTCAGCAACACCAAGCCCCTCTCCCACTTCAGCTCAGAGGCCGCCCCTCCCCAGAAGATGCCGCCCATGGGGTCCACCGCGGGCCAACAGTCCCTCATGCACTATCTTCAGCAGCAAGCTGCAACCTCGCCACAGTCCCAACAAGTCAACAACAACCAGTTCCTCCAGCAGCAGCTCCGGCAGTTGATGCAGCCGCCGCAACGGATGCCGCAGCGGCACGTCCAGCCGTCCCCGTTGTCATCGCAGGTGCGACAGGTAAGCCCACAGAAGTGGCTTTTCTCCTTCTCCCTTCCCTCCTCATCTTCTTTAATGGCCCCATAATCCCTTGCATTGGGGTGGAGTCTGGAGGTAGCAGAGTGTTTACTGGCCAGATGCCGTTCCTGTCACCAGAGCGGAGTTCTGTTCAGCAGATACATTCTCATGGTGCCCAGAGAGAGAAATATCTGCCTCTCCCTAGGATCGAACTCACAGCCTCCTGATTGTGAGCTTCCACCTCTAGGCCACCGGTACCTCTCTGCTCCCGTCTCTTTCATGAAGCTCCAAGACTTCTGGCAAACTTTGTACATGTGCATTGTAAGTTTGAATTTGGTTGCTTGGCTCTGAGTTCTTTTCGGGGAGACGTTTGCTGGAAGAGCAGGGATTCGCATCTTCTTCGGCTCATCACTGCCCTCGATTGAAGAGTTTATTAAGAGGTTTTTAGCTTTAAAGCCTCGGTTGCATTTCTCTGTGGCCGTTTTTGGATTTTAATTCTGAGGTTGGTCGAATACGTTGTTTGAGCTTGTCTGCCTTGGAGCTCTCCCTCTCCGCTTGCCTGGGCTCCCTGGGTAAACTTGTGTAGGTTGTATTTACCTAGAAGGAAGACTTAAGTTACTGTCTCGTCTTCGTTTGGGGAAAGCGGTTAGCATTAAAAAAAAAAAAAGGAGGCTTTGAGCAAACTTTCTTTTCCCAGCTTTGTGCAAATCAGAGACGACTCTTCTTTTCAGAGTTGTACGTTTAGCTTTGGAGGAGAGAGAAAGGCACCTGGCTAACATCCCCTGTTATGGGCGCTCAGGACAAAAGTCTCAAGTCAGCCATCACATCCTCTTGGTTGTAAACCACTCCAGCTGTCCCAAAACTACCTAATACCTTAGCTTCATGGGCTGGGGAGGGATGGATGGATGGATGGATGGATGGATGGATGGATGGATGGATGGATGGATGGATAG